GACTTAGCAGAATAAGCAGCACCTAGAAGCTCGATAAATGTTGACAAAATGATGATGAAGACAAAGAGAGCTGCTAACTCCAGAGCGCTCTAGTCAGGGCCTCGCTCCCAAGTTCCAGGTCCCCATTTGCAAAGCAGCTTCTGACTCAAATCAGTGTTCCTATTATTCCAGAGAGGGAAGGAGAGGAGTGACTCATATCCTGGCAATGGCTGTCCTGCACCAGCTGGGGAGAAGAGGGCCTGAGGTGAGGAGGAAACATGAGCCCCTTAGGCCCAGTTATTGGGCCAATGACTTTCCTGGGTTTCACAGGCACCTCATACATTCATTAGCACCAGTTAGGAGGGGGCTGAGAGGTGGTGGACAAAGTAGAGCCCAGGCCACTAGCGAGCAAAGCCAGTAAATATGCCTCCATACTGGACCCAGAGGGAGAAGTTACTCCACCTGATCTAACACAGGCAAAGGGTGGGCAAATGTTCCTAGTAAATTTGCTCTTTGCTCTTCAACTTGCTCCTATTAAGAGTTGGAATTTTAACTTGGAAGTTAAGTTGGTCCTGGCCTCAAGCACTGTGGAGACCATAACATTCCAGACCTAGAAACTGAATACTGGGACATCAAGTCACATTCCCAACGTTCCGCGGAGCAGAGGCTTCCTCCAAGCTGTTTAGATGCAGCAGTGGAACACTGAGGGGGCTGGACACCAGTTGCAAGACGGGTCAAGTTCACAAACATGATTATTTCACTGAACCACAAATGGCTCACAATCATAAGGGGGAAAGAATCAGCACCACTGATAATCAAAAGAAATGCACATTAAGACAATAAAGTTGACACAATTTATTGATGAACAGAACAGCACAGTAAAAACTAAAAACAATGAGAAAGCCAAGAGTTATCTGGGTGTGGGCAACCAGGCACTCCCACACAATGCTGGTGAGTGTGTAAATCAGCACAGTTTCTAGAAGGCAACCCAGAAACGTACCAAATGCCTGTAGAGCTCCTTTGTCAGAGCAATTTCACTTCTAGGAATTTCAATGAAGGAAATAAGACATGTGCACAAAGATATCCATTTCAGCCTTGCTTACAGTAGCAAAAGAGAAAATTAAAATAAATGACTAACAATAAAGAATTGATTAAGCAAGGAGCTGCAACTACAATCCCAGAGGCACACGGTTCGAATCCACCAGATGCGCTGCCGGGGAAAGAGGGACAATCTCCTTCTGTACCAGTCAGATCTGATTTGCCGGTACACTCACACAAAAATAATAAAAAATTTAAAAAAAAAAGAATTGATTAAATACATTCTGGTTCAACCCTGAAAGATACAGCCATTAAAATAACAGAGAGTATTTATTGATGTTGAGACACACCCACAGTTGGGAGGAAAAGGGAGGGGACTGATAAAAGCCATGATTCCAAGTTCTGAGATTAGTATATACAGACTAATTCCTGTAAAAAAAGATGTAATCTATACGAATACATAGAAAAGAAAAAGGCCTAAATTATACATGAATGTAACAGTGGTTATTACCTATTACTAATTTTTTTTTCTGCCTGCCAATATTTTCTTCTGATAGCTAAAATTTTTTTAATGGGTTAAGCTAGATGATTTAGAAAGTTCTTACCAGCTCTGACATTTTGGTCATCCATGATTGATGTCCCAAGGAACTTCAAACGACCCATATTTAGTGTTGGCCTTTGGAGCCAAAGTCTGCCTACAGCTGCAGCCCTCTGCATTCCTCTCTCCCCACACTTGTGGCCCAGCTGTCTCCTTTGCCAGTCTGGGAGCATCTTGGGGACAGGGCCCAGTTGTAACTGTCTGTAATCCATGTCCCTAGCCAAGAGCTGAGCAAAGGAACAAGGCTCAGCTCAGCCTGGTGACAGGTGCCATGTGGGCACAAAGAGACAAAAGGCCCAACTTGCTCTAGAATCTTAGTAGGGCACCGGATTCATACACAAAGTGCTTGGTTGTATAACACGGCCTAAGAAAATCTGAGGAAGGAGAACACAGGGCAGGTTGGGAAAGGGAGGCCCACTGGAGGAGAAGGCCATGCAGGGTGGGTGGGTGAGGGCGCCCCAGGCAAGGATCACAGTCAGAGCAAAGGTAAAAGCAAACCGAATGTCCTTTGGGATACATGCCTCAAACCTTTCCAAGAAGCTTTCACAATCCTTGTTCTGAGGAATTTCTGTACTTTGGCCTGAATGGGTAAAAGTTAAATTGCCTAAAAAGAAGTTCTTCCTCCATCTAACCCCAGTTTGACAAAGACACTGAATTAGCATTTTAACCACCTTCCCGCAGCCCTCCCAAAGGTGGCAGACAGGCGGTGGAGGAGAGGGCAAGGAGGGGGCTGTAGGAGACAGGAGGTTGCAGGAACAAATAGACATCTCACAAAGAGTGCTCACCCCACTACCATGCCACTGGATTCTCATGCCGCCACCACCAGCCCCATTTGACAGATGAAGAAACGAGGCTCAGAGAGTTCAAAAGACTTGCCCTGGGTCACCCAGCCAGAGAGTGGGGAAAGCGACTCCACTCAGGCCTTCTGACTCCAAGTCCAGTGCTATTTCGAGGTAACACACAGGACCTGGAGTCAGGAGCCCTGGGTGGCTCTGTCACCCGCTGGCTGCATGGTCCTGTACAAGCCGCTCACCCCTTGCAGCCTCTTTCCCCAAATGTAAAATAAGGAGGCGTGTTAACGACCCGCCCAGGTCCTTTTCTGGACCTGCACTTGAGCCTTCTAGGGGCGTCTGCAAAGCTCGTCCTATCAATTACATTTCCCAAGTTGGGCCGGCAGAGATCACCAGGAGCGCCTCGGCCTGTCACGTGGTTAAATAAAAAAAGCAAACGTCCCAGATTAACTTTCACTGCATTGCTACTGCTGACACCTGACTAACCAATTTTCTAGTTTCCCTGGGTGAAATGTTCCTGCTAGATAGGCCCGCTGGGCGGCTAAAAAAGCAAATGATTAATTATAAGTGAGTCATAGCACACAAGGCTTAGCTAAAACCCAGGCTGAGATCCATTGCGGACAATTCTTACTACTGGGTTCCTGAACTAGTCTCCGTGCTATTTCAGGCCTCTCTCACTCGCCTCTTAGCCGAGAGGTTTGGTGACGCTGAAGACAGTGTTTGGTGAGATCTTTGGTGCCGGCTCCTTCCCAGAGGCAGCTAGCCCTTCCCAGTCCGCACCAAATGCCCCTGCCCGAGGCTGTGCGAACGCATAGGGGCCGAGACCCGTCTCCTTCGGCGCAGACACCAGCGCCGCACGTGTGACGGCACCCGGTGACCGCGGCGGGAGCTCCACCGCAGTTTCGTCAGAGGTAAAGGTACGCGCCCGGCGCGCGCGGCGTGTGCACACACGTACATCCACCCGCGCGCACAGCCTACACACTACACTCCTGCCGGCCTCGCAAAGCTAAATCACATGCCACCAGCCGCTACCCCGGAGCCACCCGCCACAGACCGCGCCACCCCGCGGCTCCCCGACGCAGCAGCGTCTGCTGCAAAAGACGGACAGCCTTTCTTCCCCCAGGTTGTGGCGGGCTTCCTCTCGGGCAACATCCCGTCACGCCGTGCCGGTCCCAGTCGCCAGCCAGGAGTCGCTACCCGGAGTCGCCGGCCCGGAGCAGAACGTATCGGTTGCTGTGTATGCCTTCTCTCCGCCGCCCCCCCCCCCCAATCGTGTTTCACCGCAAGGAGTCAGCTTGCAAGCTACTCCCCGCCCACCCGGTCCCATGACAGCTGCTACCGCCCTAAAACAGGCAGATTATAACAAGAAGCAAAGTTTCCCTCTCTCCCCTCCCACCTCCCGCCCTCCTCTTTCCCCCTCCCACTCGGTGTTATGCAAAACGGGCCGGCACCACCGCCTTCATTCCAGGTACCAAACCAACCCCGGCGAGCCGCGCCCGGTTCCGCACCGCGGCCCCTATCAGCGCCAGCCGTGCGCCCTCATCCGGGGTCTCCTCTTCGGCTTGACCGCATCCTTAGCCGCCCAGCAACCCGCAGCCAGGCTCGCAGAGAAAAACCACCTAACTCTGGGGCCAAACTTTACATTTGCAACAGGCAAGGGGTGGAGAAATCGGAGAAGGGGTGGGAGGCACAACCCACCCCCCCGCCGCCTTTTGCAAGCATTTTCGGTGGCTGCTTGTCCCAGCAGCACCCCCTTGTCTTCAGCCCACCAGCTTCCCTGCTCCCTACCCCCGGCACACCAGAGCACTCTTCTGTCGCGCGCGTGTCGTCGGTGGGGCTTCTAGGCGCAGCCAGAGCCCGGGACGCCGCTTCGTCTTCCCTTCCCCCTGCAACACAGAGCGCGCACCAGGACCGTGCGCCGCAGGGGGACCCAGACGCCCCCAGACAGTTCTCAAGTCACCATTCTGCCCTGTCTTTCCCCCGAGGGCTCCGCTGAGTAGCGAAACCAGGAAGGCGCTATCCCCGCCCGCTAGTCCACGTGCCCTACAGACCCCCAAGTCTTTAGCCAGGAACCGGTAGGAAACTCCGCGCTGCGGGCGCTGCTGGGGAGCCCCAGGGGGCCAACAGCAGCACTCGGGGGACGCAAGGCTAGGGGACAAGATGGTTCTAGAGACAGAAGAAGGGGCCCAGGGCCGGGGCCACAAGTCCACGTGAAATTACGGTAGCAAGTGCCGGGCGCGGAGGGCGCGCCTCCAGCACCCAACGTCAGACTGAGGGTCCCCCACATCTTGGCGCGTCTCCACTCCCCCAAGGAAGCGCGGTACCCCCAGTCTACCTCCTGTGGGAAGGACTTCAAGCGGCCAAAACAAGACACTGCCCCAATGACTCTAGCGCCTCCAGCGCTTCCGCAAGTACATGGGGACCCCCTAGCTCCCTATGCCCGTAACGGAGCGCATCCAGGGCTCATGGAAGGGGGGCTCTGCAGCCTGGAACCCCTGATCCCCCAGTGCGCTCACCTCTGCATCCCTGCCTCTGCGATTACGGCGGGTGCCTTGGCAGCTCAGTACCCCCTCCCCGGGCCCAGCTGGCCGTACCTGTGTGTCTGCGAGATAGTTGAGGAAGAAGGAAGAGAGCTCTTCGTCCAGCAGCGCGCCGCAGTCGTTCCCCGCCATCTTCCAGCCGCGGCTGCAGCGTGCGGCGGAGTCAGCGCCGAGCCGGCCCGGGGGGAGGGAGCGAGGAGCGAGCGAGGAGGGAGGAGAGAGGCCGGCGGGAGGCGGAGGGCGGAGCTCCGGCCCGGGGCTGCCGCAGGGCCGCTGGCTGCGGGGGCGGGGCCGCGCGGCGCCTGCCAGAGCAGGGGGTCGTGCCCGACTCTACCGCGCTGTGCCGAGTTCTGCGACCCGCGCCCACAGCCCCCAGCCTCGGGACAGAGCCCGCAGCCTGGTGGCAGAGTCCCAGGCAGCAGTCCGATTCCTGCGCAGCAATGCAGGCAGCCCCCCGCTCCTGCTAGAGCGAATCACGTTGCGTTAGCGCTGGGCGGGCCCTCCTAGACAACCTGCTTCTTCTGTATGGCTGGGGAAACTGAGGCTCCTGAAGGCGGAGGGTCTGGTTTGAAGTGCTAGAGAATTTCAATAGCAAGACAAAAAAAATAATCCCAGGACCCGCTGCTTGGAAATCTGTAGTTTTTCTACATAGGGCAAGCCTGGGAAAAATCAGGGAAGGCTCAGAAGAGATGTTTAGATCTGTGCCTTGAAGGATGCGTTGACTCATCCTTTTCAGCTGGTCATATCCTCTCTTTTTCTCTCTCTCTGAATCCTCCACCCTTGGCGCTCTTGTTCTCTCTCATCACCCTTCCTTCCCCAAATAATAAACGACTTCACTGATTTAAATTACCAAGACTTACTCATTTGGGGCATGTCTTCAGGTGTACTCAGTCCTTGGAGAGAGACACAAGTAGAGGGTCAAAGAGAGGAAGCCCCTCAACAAGATGGCTTGGCACGGTGACTTGAGCATAACAGATCATGAGGTTGGCGCAAGATAAGGCAAAGTTCAGATCTGTTGTTCACAGTCAGAATGAGTTGTAGTCAACTCCGTGGCATGTAACAGCAGCACCACCATGGCTCACAATGAAGACCTAACTAACCCTTCAGTCTTCTCCCATATAAACCTTCTCACAACAGGCCTCTGCACCGTTTCCCCACAACCTTTGTGCTCACCATTTGTTTCTCAGCCTCTTCCCTGAAGGCTACCTTAGCTCTTGAAATCTTTTCTTTAAAAGACTAAGCCTAGTTACACTTATATTTACGTCAGTAATGATTTGTTCCTTGTCTCTTTCCCTACTAGACTCTAAGATTGAAGAAAGCAAGGCCTAATTCTGGTTTTGCACTCCACTAAAGAGCCCCAGTTGCCTTGGAGAATGCAACCCGTGACAGTTGCACTGGAGAAGTCTCTGACAGACTTCTCCAGAGTATTGAAGAGCACTATGTCAGTCTGGAGGCTAAGGTGCTCCTGATCCAGGCCATGATCTTCTCAATGACTTGCTATGCGTCAGAGAACTGGACAATTACTAAGAATGACAGAAGAATTGATGCCTTTGAGTTGCAGTGCTGGAGAAGAATATTGAATTTACCATGGGTTGCCTAGAGAAGAAACAGGTCTGTCCTAGAGAAGGTGAAACCAAGTTGCTCCCTAGAGGCAAGGATTTTGAAACTCAGTCTCACATACTTTGGCCATGTTGCCAGAAGGGACCAGTGTCTGGAGAAAGATATCATGCTTAAAGGATGGAGGAACAAATGCATGACAGGAAGACATAGATTGACACAGTGACTGGGATAATGCGGGCAGATGTGTCTGAGACATTGAGATTGGCTCAAGAGAGGACAGGGTTCAGAGCTATTGTTCATAGGGTCCTGATGAGTTGCAGTTGACTTGACAGCACATCACAACAATAAAGGAGCCTAGTGACACAGAGGCTAAGCACTCACAGAGAGTTGGAAGGACAGTGGTTGGAATTCCCTTGTCACTCCATAGTCAAAAACTGGCAGACGCTTCCGTCTGGCTTTGGGTCTTGTATTTAGGCAATTGTATTCTGTCCTATAGAGCGTGAGTCAGAATTAGTGCCACAGCAATGGCTTTCGGATTTGTTTATATCACCAATACTTCACATGTTGTTGTTAGTTGCAATATGGGTTTCAATATGGAGTCAATTCCGACTCATGGTAGCCACATGTGTGCAAAGTAAAACTACTCCATACAGTGTCTAAGGCTGTGCCTCTCTGGAAGCAGACTTCGAGACCTGTCTCCAGGGTGGCTGCGGGCTTATTCAAACTGCTGACCTTCCCCTTCTCTTATATTGCCAGTAAGTCAAAACCAATTCATAGCTGACCCGGCATCGGACATTCAAGGCTAAAAATTGCAAGGAAGAAGATTGTCCATCTTTCTACTGAAGAGTAACTGGTGGATTTGAACTGCTAGAGAATCAAAGCTTTTGGGTCAGTAGTGGAACTGCCTATGGATTTCACCATCAGAGCAATCTTACCTTCCTCCTAGGAGAGTGTTTAATCATTTGTGTTACCCCAAGGACTCACATTAAAAAAATAAAAATGATAGTAAAAATCCTATCACCATCATCAAGTTTATTATAATTCTTAGTTATCCTACAGACAGAGTAGTTATACAACACACACACACACACATATGTATGTACATATGGCATAGTGGCAAAAAGCTGTGCTACAATTCTGAAGGCAAACGGTTTGAGGCCATCAGCTGCTCTGTGGGAGCAGGATTAGTAATCTTCTGCTAAGCAATTAGCTGCCTCTGAAAACCCGCCAGAGGGTCACCTACTGTTCGAGTCTGTCTCGATGGCACACAACAACATTGTATAAATGTTAGATCGTTGTTGTTGTTATGTGCCATCGAGTCGCTTACAACTCATAGCAACCCTATGTACAAGAGCCCTAAATGCTGTTCTATTCTGTGCTAACCTCGCCATCGCCGACACATTCATTCCAACCACCTCAATCACAGAATTGATCCATCTCATCAAGGGTCTTCCTCTCCTGCACTGTTCCTCCACCCTCCCAAACATGATGTCCCTCTCCAAGGGACATTTGCAACATGCCCAAAGTATGTCAGACAAAGCCTCAGAATCCTTGACTGCAAGGAGCATTCAGCTTCACCCTGCTTGTTCTCCTAACAGTCCATGGTATATTCAACACTCTTCTCCAGCACCACAGCTCAAAGGCATCAATTCTCTTTCTATCATCCCTATTCACTGTCCAACTCTCTGATGCATAGCACGTAATTGCAAAGACTATAGCCTGGATCAGGTGCACCTTAGTCTCCAGCCTGAGGTTGTTGCTCTTCAGTACTCTTGAGAGGTCCCTCACAGCTGACTTTCCCCAATGCAATTCATCTCTTGATTTCCTGGCTGCTGGTACCAAGAGTGTTGACTGTGGAACCAAGTAAACTAAAACTGCTAATTATCTCAATCTCTTCACCATCCATACTGATGCTGCCAATTGGCCCAGTGGTGAGAATATTTGTCTTCTTGATGTTGAGCTTCAATCCGTATTGAAGGCTGCAGTCCTTGACCTTCTGCAGCAAGCACTTCAGGTCCTCCTCAGGTTCAGCAAGCAGGGTTGTCATCTGCATAACTCAGGTTGTTGATGACTCTTCCACCAATCTTGATGCCACATTCCTCCTTGCACAGCTCAGCGTCTCGGATGATCTGTTCTGCATACAGATTGAAAAGGCATGGAGACAAAATACATCCCTGATGAACCCCCTTCTTGATTTTGAACCATGTAGTGTCTCCTTGCTCTGTTCTGACGACTGTCTCTTGGTCTAAGTATAGGTTTCACATTAGCACAATCAAATGTTCTGAGATTCCCATTCTTCTTAGAGTCAGCCATAGCTTGTTGTGATCCACACAGTCAAAAGCCTTTGCATAGTCAATGAAGCACAGATAGACATTCTTCTGGTATTCTCTGCTTTCTGCCAAGATCCATCTAACATTAGCTATAACATCCCTAGTACCACGACCTCTTCTAAATCCAGTCTGCACAGCTGGCAGTTAGATAGTGCCTATTTAGTTGTTACTAGGAAGGCTTGGTGGCCTAGTGGCAAGAAGCTGTTCTGCAATCCCAAAGACCTGTGGTGCGAGGCCACCAGCAGTTCCAGCTGCTCCTTGGGAGAAGGATGGCCAGTCTCCTCCATCTTGCCTCTGAAAACTCGCTGGAGGATCAGCTATGGATTGGTTACGACTCTACGGTACACAACAACAACAACAACAACAACAACAACGTAGTTGTTATTGTTATTTGCCGTCAAGTCCACAGCAGCTCATTGGGACTCTATGAACAATGGATCTGAACTTTATCCTGTGCCGTCCAGACCATCTTTCAACACACTTGAGCCATTGCTACAGGCCTAAGTCAATCCATTTTGCTGAGGTCTTCCTCCTTTACACTAACCTTTCCAAGCCTCCTCCTTACAACATGCCCAAAGTATGTGAGATGGAGTTTCACTGTCCTTGCCTCCAAGGATCATTTGGGTTTCACCTTCTCCAGGATCATTTGCTCTGGCAGACCATATGTTGTTGCTATGTATCTTCCAGTCTGAAACAACCCATAGCTGACTCTCTAGCTGGTTTTCAAAGGCAGTTTATCCCACAGGAGGAGACTGGAGCAGCTCGTGGATTTGAACAGTGTGCCTTTGTGTTGGCAATGCAATTCCTTAACACTCCGAAAATTCATTGCATTTGAGTCAGAACCAACTAACAGTCAGCCTACTATTGAGTTTATGGAGGCTGTAACTTTCACAGAAGATTGCCCATCTTTCTCCCTCCTGGTGGATTTGAACCACCAGAGACCCCCAGCCTTCGGGCCAGCAGCCCAACTCCCTACAGACTGCGCCTCCAGAGCTCCCGCCAAAAGCTTTACTAAGCCGTAATGTTTGTGGACTCAGAAAGACATATAAATGTCTATATCTCCAACATAACAGGTAGAGCTTAGAATGAGTCTTCCAGGTTAGCAGCCAAGCTCTTTAACCACTGTACTACCACAGTTCTTACCCTGGCACATAGTAGACACTTACATAATGTATAACCCAAAAAGTTGGAGAATTCCACTCCCCTTGCCACCACCACAGCACACACACTCTACAGAGAAGG